ACGTATACACACAGATATATAAATATACGTGGATAATATTCTCATATTATGCTTAAGTCGTCTACAATATAAAAAGTCCCTTTCGATTATTATTTATCTTCGTAGGAGGAAGAAGTAGAAGAAGAAGAATAAGAAGAAAGTTAAACGCTAATTCAGCGTATCAAAATGAAAGTTAAATAATGCGTGTATCAATGCCTCGAAGATATGCAATCGCAAATGAAATTCAAATCGATTTTAATATTATACAAGTTTTGTTAACTAACCAAGAAACCCCGTAGACACACGTTACTCTTATTACCGTTTATAACGTTCGCAATATATATATTATTTTTAAACAAAATCGACACGCGCCGTCAGTTAAAGTATAATACCGCAAAACGAGTAATTCGAGTAGGGTTTCGTTTTAAACGTCTAGTCGTCTCCATTATCGCGAACTAAGAATGATTTCCTGGAGAACGGGAAGAAAGAGAAAGAAATAGTGTACTTACATGTTAGTATAATACACGAGTATAATGTTAATAATTAAAATAAAAACAAAAAGAAAAGAAATTAAAAACTAATCTATCGCGTTTTTTGAAAACTTACAAGAAAGAAATAGAAAGAAAGAGAAATATGTGATTTGTATATGTTTTATATATTTTATACAATAACAATTTGTTAATATAATACAACAAAAATATTCAATGTTATTTATACCGTGGGGGATATAATTCTACAATGGTGAAAAAATTAATGTTCAAAAGATTTACTCGTTTTTTATTTTTTAATTTAATTATCTACGGGGAATACAATTTTCCAATATTTTCCCATTTTCTTTTTTTTTCTTATTTTGCATTTGTATTTAAACAAACAAACAAAAAAATTAAAGGAAGAATGTAAACGACGAGAATTATTTTTGTGATCAATATTTTTATAATAAAATTCATAAATATTTAAAAAAGAAAATAATAATAATAATTAAACAAAATAAGGAATATTACATCCTATCGTAAAAATTTTCCGATTCTTGGGTAGCACTTAATTTCGAGTATTGAAAAAACGAACAGGTGATAAATAAAAGAAAAAAAAAAAGAAAAGAAACCACGAGTCAAAAAGGGAAGGATACAAAAAAAAATTGGAAGATTATTTATTCAATCGAAAAAAAATATGGAAAATTGAGTTAGTTTGGTAGCGCGAGAGGTTTTATTTGAGAAAGTGCCTTTTACCAGGGACGGTTCCGGAGGGTTCGAAGTTGAGTGGAGGGTAAGCATTACAAGGGGGGAATGCCAAGAAGAGCTGAGAAGCATTCGAGTCAGTTCGTGTAGGGACTCGAAGCCGTGCACCAGCATTTTCTATCTCTCTTTCTCACAAACACTTGTTATCTCACTCATATTCTATCAAAATTCTCTCTTTGTTTCCCTTTTTCAATTCAATCGCGAATCCGTATTATTTCCCTCTTATTATTTTTATTTTTTGTTTGTTTGTTTGTTTGTTTATTCTTATACTTGCACGCGTGCATCCCAAAAAAAGTCAATCGTAACCATCCCCACTGTCTCCCCCCCACCCTTCTAACAAAATAAACCAAAAACAGGTGTTTTCTTTTCCGTCGTCAAGATTTTCATTATAAAGTTTACCGGTGTCAATAATTTTACCGAATGCAGTTGACGATATTCAAGGATAACGCGAAATCGTGCAATGATGTCGTACGATTGTCCGCATCCAGTTTCGAGAACGTATCGATACAAAAAGGTAAGGAAACAAAAACAAAAAAAAAGAAAAAAGATATTACGTATCCCCGGTTTGATTTTTTATCTTATTATTATTATTATTTTATTTCTCCTTCATTTTGATTTATTCTTCTTCCTTTCTTTTCTTTTCTTTCTTTTACCTTCTTGTATTATTTTACCGTTTGAAATTAATTTCGAATTAAACAATTTTCGCGAATAATATATATAATATAATAATTCATTGTTTGTTTTATCAATCTATACGATATAATATATGTGCGCATTGTGATATGAAACGAAATCAATTCGAATATGTTATACTAACTCTAATACTTGACGAAGAGAATAATAATATTATAAGGATATATTTTTGATTATGTATTTATATTTCTTAGAAATTTTGATCAAGCATTATATGACTGTACATAGAAATTAATCGTACGAGAACTAACGAAATCGCGTCATGCGATAAAACACGTAATCGAGAATCGTGACTCGATTATTCGCGTGTGTAACAGAGAGAGAGAGAGAAAGAGAGAGGGAGAGAGAGAGAAAAAGATTAAGAAAATAATGATGAATGAAACACGCGTCATGAACTAAAGAATTAAAGTTTTGTCGTCATATACAAGGTGTTCAATAAAAATCTAACTATAGAAATATCGTACTAGATGAACAACGCGAATTAACTTATTTTTTTTTTTATTCGTTCATTATATTTTATTTTATTTTATTTTATTTTTTTCTAATAAAATAAATTAGATCGAGAAAAAAACAAAAATGAATTGATTTATTTTATATATTACTATTATTTAATATTATTTTCTTCGTAAATTTTCTTTGTTTTTTCTTTTTATCTTATTGTTAGAAGAATTATTATTTATTTCGTTATATATGTGTGTGTGTGTGTGTTTTATTATTATTTTTCTTTTAATCATTTTTATAATATATGTCAGGGGTGAGTTGGAAGGTTTTTACTAGCCTAATATAGAAATAATATATTTTGTTCTTCTTTTTTTTTTCGGTCAAATATTCAATTTTATTATTCGACGTAGGCACGTCGATACTTTTCAACTTTTATCTCCTCGTATAATTATTATTATTATTATTATTATTATTTATTTGTAATACAATTATTTATATTATAACATAAATCTCTACAAAAATTCATTATTTTAATTTTTTTTGTCTTAGTTGACTATCGTAATTACCGTCACAAAAATATATTTATATATATAAATTGTTATTAAAAATATTATCAATGTTAATTTTTTTCAGATAACGAAACCACTATTGGAACGAAAAAGACGAGCACGTATAAATCAATGTCTCGACGAACTGAAAGATCTCATGGTGGATGCACACGAAGTGAGTAGTATCGTGTAATGTTAAATAATTATTAAGAAAAAATAAACAATAATAAAACAAAACAAAAATATATATATATAATAGAAAAAGAAAACTGAACTATCATCATGATCTTACGGTATAATATATCGATGAACGAAAGCTATATAAAAACATTTAAAACTTCTATCCAGATATTCTCTAGAAACTCGATTCAAACGATTTCTCTATTAGTCACAGTCGAAAAACGATACAACTAGTGTCGATTAAACATCGTTTAGATTCATTCATGCGTGCGACCGTATATATTAGAAAACTAATTCTAATCAAGAAGACTTTAGATATTTAACAGATTTCAATATTAATTTTACTATTTTCGTTTCGTTTGATTTTTTTTTTATTTTACAACAGTTATATTTATTTTATCATATATTTTTTTTTTTTTTGTATTCTCTAGAAATCCTTATATATATTATTATTATTTATTATTAAATAATATTCCTGATCGAAGGTTTTAAAAATAAATACAAAGTTTAATAACTATATATAAATATACGAAGGTTGAGATGAAAAGTTTCGAGCCTCAACGAAAAACCTGTTTCCTTTTTTTTTAAATAAACAAAAGAAAAATTGTTCCTATATTATAGAAACTCAATTACCTTTTCAACTCATTCGCATAATTAAACGTATCCATCTTATTAAACAAAATTATATATAACACTTCTATATTATATATTATTATCTTCAATATTATTATTATTCACATATTCTTTATATGTGTCCTTCTATTATTTATCTATTACATGAAAAAATAATCAAAATATATGATACGTAATCGTAATAATTATCGTTGATTCAAATGGAAATACTTATTGTTAAATTAATGTTAAATGTATGTATGTGGTTTAGCTCAAATAGCACGTGCTCTCCGTGTGATTTCTTTTTTTTTCCGTCCAAAAAGTAAGGCGTCTTATTTTTCTGTTCTTTTTTTTTTTTTGTTTTTTAAACTTCGCACGACTCCATTTACGATCTCTCCTCTGTTCTGCTGCAATTTTACGGCTCGCGCTCCTGGCAGGAAACGCATTCTCCAGCCGCAACTGCGCGTGGCAATACCATTTTCCTCCTCTTAAATATATTCCAAGGACCGTGGGAACTCGTTGAAATGTCAACGACATTTACTATTGCCACGACGACAACTTCATTAATTATTCGAATAAATTTATCGCTATCTATATCTCCTCACTTGTTGGTTAGTATTTCATATTTTTTTTTTTCTTTCTAACCCCCCTATTCGTTCGTTCTAATTATTTTACATTATATCTTACACAATATATATATATATATATATACGCGCGATTTTCTATATAAAATATATTAATATAAACATTTATTTTTTTTTTTTTTTTCATTTATGAAGATATTTATATAAAAATATAAAAGATGACGTATACGCTTATAGATTAATATATTTAATTATTGTTACAAATTGACATACTCTCTCTCTCTTTTATAAATATATGATTAAACAATGTTGTTGTTGTTGCATGTTAGAAGAATACAATCCTTGATAAAATTTATTAACGAAAAAAAAAAAGCAAATATAAATAAGAAACCACGTTTTCAGAATCAAAGTTTTTCGATGAATTTTTTAGTTTCCGTTCGGTTTTGTTTTTAAATAATAATAATAAATGATACGGAGATATACCGTAGGTAATATTATAGCTAAGATAATAGGATTGGAAAACAAAAACAAAAACAAAAAATAAAGTCTACAGCGTTTCGCTTTGAAGATGAAAGACCCTAAAGAAATTTACGTGACTTTGGATTTGAATTAGTTTCGGTAATCAAACCGATCCATTGCTCGTCTTTCTATAAACCAACAAAAGGGACGTACCGTGTCGGTAAGGAAAAAGAAAAGGATTTCTTCCGTGATTCAGTCATGCACGACTCTCTTGATCAAATGAAAAAGGATCGATTCTCGAATCCGTTCGTCGAGTTTGAACGATAGATCGAAGATAGCTTGCTAGCTCGTGCGAGCGAATCAAATCAAGAATTATACACGGAAAACTAAGATTACACTTAAGATTACGATCTTTATAATCATTTAAAAATTAAATTGAAAATTATAGGCGTGCTTTTAAAAAATATTACAACTTTTACATTTTGTTCCTATTACCGTTTATACATATTACATATTGCGTTATATTAATTATTAAAATATAATATTACTTATATTATATCTGTAAAACGGGGTATAATTCTTGATTTAAAATTAATTTGATTAAATATATATTTCAAGTTTACGATTTAAGTAGAATTTAAATTACAAAAATAGATCTTTGTGCGCTTTTTTATTTTATATATATTTTTTTTTTCTTTCTATCGTACACTAATTTTATCTTCATGAGAAAAAGAAATCATTAATTTTTACAAATCAGCGAAAAATGTTAAAAGAAAATTCATTTGACAATATATTTATTTATTTTCTTCTTTAATTTGTTGAAAAAATATATGCTATAAATCATTTTTATTTAGATTAATAGAAAATAATTAGAATAAAATTTCTCTATAGACGGAAGGTGAAAATATCAGTAAATTGGAAAAGGCAGAAATTTTAGAATTGACGGTACGACATTTGCAAAGATCACAAGCTGCTCGTGCCGCCGGTTTGTTTCCTGGTATTTCAACAACGTCAACGGCAACGTTAACAACAACAACTATAACAACAACAACAACAACAACAGCATCAACAACTACAACAACAAGAATGACGACGATAATAAACGACGAAACTACTGCCGAAAGCCGATGGCAATCTGGTTTTGGACATTGCGCTACGGAAGCTTGCAGATTTTTAGCTGCACTACCTGGCAAAGCAGCAGAAAACTTGGCAAGGCATCTAGCCGTAGGTCTTCAAAATAATTCCAAGATCAACTCGTTAAACGTGAGTTTTTATCTATTTTTATATCATTCAAAATGATCGAAAAAAGGAAAAAAGAAAAATAAAAAGATGAAATATTATGTTTAATTTTTGTTTTGTTTTTTCAGATCAATCCTAATCTTTCAACGACGTTAATCGATCTGGATCATAGTACTTTGATCTCTTGTCCTTGTCCGATCAGTCCAATTTCTCCAACCGATATGAATATTCCAATTTCTGTTAATAAAATGGATCAATCAATCGATGTTAAAACAGGTACTTTTAAAAGTACTTCTAATTTAATAGAAACAACGATAGGCTCGTTGGAAGATTGTAAAAGATATCACGATAACGATCAGATTAAATTAGCATTGATTAAAGAAAATCGTAAAAATTCAATGGTCAAACGTAAAACAATCAATCCGCAAAGAATGAATATGGAAGAAGAAGAGGAAATTGACGTTGAACGGGTGGATGATGATGATCTCATGTGGAGACCATGGTAGCGAGAAATTATATTTTTTCTTATAAATAATATTTGTATAATATTATTTATTCGCTTAATCACAATCGTGATTAGTTTTACGTTGTATTAATCGTTCAAATCTTACGATATAAAATAACTTTAATATTAAGCAGGATTATAGTATTACGATAATGTTGATCCTTATTTTGGTATATGGCTTTAATTCCGTAAATATAGTATTGTAAGATTCATTCTTACGATATTATTTTAAGTTAATATCATAGCTTGTATTATAAGAAAAAAGTGACAAAATATTACCTCCGATTATTTGTAAAATCATTTTAAATGTTCAATAACGAACTGTACTTTAACTTTTCGTATTATAGTATAATCGTATAGAACTTTAAACATTTGTTGAAGCATCGAATGAACGATTTGAAATATTGTACTATCTTTTATATATTGAATCTTTAATCTTTACTTTAATTATTATTTTTAAATTTTAGATTAAGTTTATCTATAAGATGAGAAGAACGACAAATCATATCACTCATTATAGATATTTATTCCAGTTTTCATATAAATATTAATACTTTGTGTGTGATTAACCTGTGATAGCAAAATGAAAGTTACAGTTATACTTAAAACTTTATTTTATACTATTACGATTCTTGATATTTTAATAAAAATATATTTTATGCTTTTTATCTTTAAGCTTAATTACTTTATATCAAATGAAAAAAAAATATTTTGATACTACCGACAAATGATACAGTAAAACTTTATGTTATGGTGATGTCGGTAAATACAAATTAATTCTACACCTGGACATAGAACTACGCAAGTCCCCTTTTTTATCTACCCAGATTCATCAAAGTTACAACCACGGGACCACCAATGAGCGATAGTAGGTACTTAACGCGAAATAAAACTGTTTTACCGACCGAGAGAAAATAAAACTGTTTTACTGACCGAGATTTTTAACTGTTTTACTATCAGAGTTACTAAAGTAATGAACATTTGATTATATTTGATACAAAACAATAATTATAATAAATAAGAATATAATGTAAATGATATTAATAAAAAACCAATACGCAAATAAAACTTCTTGGGATGTAAATCGAAGAACTTACGGGAAACTGTAAAAATGTTAAAGTTATTAAAAAAACATTATAAAGTTATTAGTTTCTATAAATAAAAAGGATAGTAGGAACAAAGGAAAGGAAAATAATACAGATATGGTATTAACTAGGAAGTTAAAAGAAACTAATTACAATTAAAATGTTTATGGTAAGCGGTCTTTTGCTGGATTTTACTTGCAATGGAATGTATATCACATAAAATATGATAAATATTATATCTAAAGTAAAAAACCATTGCCCAAGTCTAACCATGAGGAGGTAACCGCTTCTGAAGACCCGGGATGTGCATCCTGAAGATGTCCACATCCGAAAGAAATGAAACAAAAGAAAATTATTTAACTGAGAACGTTTTTTAAGAAACTTAACTCTTAGGCCCCACCCTAAGAGTTTCATCTACTCGTAAGTAATACGTTTACGTCGAAATTAAAAAAAAAATTGATATAAAACAATGTATATTATACAAATGCAAATACAAATCTGCAAATCGTAAAAAAAAAATCTAAAAATCGTAAGATTCGATATTCAGTCGACCTCAATCTGGTTTTTATTTTATATCTATATTAATTATAACAATTAATTTACTCTCGATTTTAAATACAAAAATTTTGTAAATTTCACAAATATCAAAAACGAGTAGAATAAAATAATAAAGAATATTTCAGATAAACCATATTGATCGTATTTGTTTGGTTTCCATCGAGTTTCCATATCAACCGGTCAAACATGCACAAGATTGCAATACGTAGCACTGTACATGGATCACAGTTACATAAACACAGTTTTATATATATTTCCATAACAAACGATTGCAATATTGAAAAAAAATATTATTATATTTCACATATTATATATATCGATATTATTTATTAAAAATGGTTCGAAGACAAGTAATTCAAGCGGATATGTATTCAACATATCACTTGAAGCCTGGACAAACGTTAGAAAATACTAAAGTAAGCTGCTTCTTTCTTAAATAAATTTAACGAGGGGAGTATGTTACGTATTAAATAACTTAACAACATTGTACACAGATATCCGAGAGGAAACTGGCATTGATAGCCTCTGAAAGCGCTTTTCAACGCTTCGTTGATTACGTTAATCAGCCACAAAGATTGGCCGAAGAAAGGGAAGTAGCAAAAATGAAATTGAATGCTATTAAAAAGGCAACTTATGAAATGTCTAAGACATGGGACAATACTATTGAGGTATTATATATTTTATGAGGTTTTTTATTCTTATTTTTTTATTTTAATTTTTTTTAATTAGAATATATAAAATAGCATTTGTCAACTTTTAGTTTTTGATCCACAATATTATTAGGTTGTGATAATATTGGAAGTATATGTTAGATCGCGTTATAGAAATATTTGTTTTAACAGAATGTTAAAAGAAGAAGAAAAGAGGAACTGTTGAATAAACGGAAGATCGATGAAGAAAGAAGAAGACAATTTGTTAAAGAGATGTCAGAAAAAAATGCTGTTAAACGTGCAGAAATAGTACGACAGGCACGAACTTTACTTCTTTACAAACAACCACAATGCAGACGGATCAATAGAGCAATGCTCGTATCGGAGGTATATTATAGAAGAGTTTTGCAAAAAAATGAGGCTCAACATTTAAGGTTGCTTTATAATTTTAGTTTGTAATTAATAAAAACAAGCAAAAAAAAAAATCAATAATATAATCGATATTTAAATTAATTATCTAGTGTCTAAGAGAATTAAACGCTCAAGTTGAGTTTCAAAAAACTATTAAACAAATGGATGATCAACAAACAACTGAATACGTAGAATCGATTAAAAAGGATGTCGAAAAATACGAGCAAGAAGAAAAGAAAAAAGTCGAAGAAAGTAGGATGAAAATTAAAAAGTATACTATGAAATTAAAGAATCAGTAAGTTATTTTCATGAAATTAATTAATTAAAAAATGACATCGAAATGTGTATTGTTCGTTCTATAATGAATGTTTTTAAGAATCGATGAAAATGCAAAAATGAGAGAGATTGAAAAAAATGAAGAATTAAAGGCAGAAATACAAGATCAATTAAATGTCAATAGAGATTTGCAACTTATAAAAGAATCCCAGGCTAAAGAAGTAAGCTCATTGTTAGATACCAATATTTGTATTAATATCGATATTAAAATAAATGTTTTGTATTAATATAATAAAATAAATATATAAGTATTTTAACGAATACCTTGTAGGAGTTGAAAAGGAAGAAAGAATTGCAAAAGGATTTTTTAAAATCGATCGATGAGAAAAAACATGCCCAACTCGAATCTAAACGTAACGAGAAATTCGAAGATCTTGCTATCGATATATACAACAGATCTAAATCTCGAATAAAAAAGATGTTGAAAGAAAGAGCTCAAAAAGAAAAGCAATCTAGGGAACAGAGAGCTAATGTTATCGGTAAGAAAACAAAATATAAACAAGAAAATAATTATACACATGTGCAAAATGTTAATTATAATTTTTACGTGATTGAAATTATACAGGAGAACAATTTGCTTCTCTCGTCGATTCCTCTCGTAAAATCGAGAAAGAAAATGAAAATTTCGTTAAAGCGGTTAATGAGATAGAAAAAAATGCAATTGAAAGATATAAAGCGCGAAAGGATTACGAAATTGCGATGAGAACTGCTAGAATCGAAGACAAACGTAAAGACGAAGCTGCTAAAATAAAATTAAAGAGAGATGAAAAAGATATACAAACTTGGGAAACATTGCAAAGATTCAAAAGGGAGGAATATAATAAGCGAGTAGAATTAAATGATCGAATAGAAGAACGAAATAGAAAAATTAATTATGCTCGTGATTTGCAAAAACATATGGTAAGAAAAATTTTAGATTAAATATAATATATTATTAAGAAAGATGTTGAATGTATTTGTTTATTTCTATTAGCAATTACAAAAAGAGGAACGTAAATACCAAAATCGTCTTGATGACGATTTTAATGAAATGAAAGCTGCTATTAAACAAGACAACGAAAGAGTTTTATCTTATAATCAACAAGTCTTAGAAGAATCTAAAGGAGTGAGACCACTTTATCCTATTTTAAAAGCTATCGAGGTATTAGTCTATAGTTAATTATTATTTTTAGATACATACTATAGGATCTGATGTGTGAAATTTAAATAAAACAAAATTTGTCTTACAATGTTTCATTTCTTTGTTTAGGTTTATGCAATTTTAAGATATATTTTTATAAATCTTTTCCTAATATGTTCATATAATTTAATTTTTACAAAAAGAAAAAAAAAGAACAGGAAAAAATGTAAACGTAATCAAAACTCTTGTCACATATCAGTTTCTGTTGAATCTATTGAACAAAATTTAACTGACACGTAAAACATACTAAAACCAAACAAAAAATGTGTTATTTTGAACAGGAATGTAAGGAAGAAATGGGTTTGATAAAACCACCAAAATTAATTAAACCTATTTCACCGAAACAATTAAAACGAATACGCGGAGTACGTCGTGGACCTTGTACGAAAATCGTAGAAGAAAATAAAATTCATTATATATCCGACGTATAATTATTAAATGTAAAATTAAATCTAAATCGATTTTTTAAACGATCTAACCAAAGTGGAATAAAATTATATCGATCCTCGATTCGTTGAAATCTATTTTAAAATATTAAAAAAATAGATTCCCCACCTACGTCTTGGTCTAACCAATGATCTTTTTACTCACTTATATTTTTCGTATTATTATATTTTATCGTGAAAAATAATATTTTACTTTTCTTTTTTATTTAAATAAAACAATTGACACCTCTGTGACAAGCGTTTACTTTATTTAAATATATTTACTTGCATGGATCTCGAGATAAATCGTGATAATTTAAAGAGAATTTTTCAAAAAACTCAGCTATATCTGACATATTCGTTTTGGATTTTCTTTTGCTCGATAAAGCCCGAGATAATTTTTTTAAAATATTATACGTCTTTGATAATGTCATTTTCATGTAAGGAGTAACAATCGTCATGGTACCAGTATTTTTAATTTCGCTATCGTGTAAAATAAAATGACAACCTTCTTTTTTTGTAGCTTCGTATATAATCTAAAAAAGAAAAATTAAATTATTATTATATATATGTATATATTATATAAATTATAAATTAATTATACACTATATATTATATACTCCAATATCTTCCATAAGAATTTTTAATTTTGCCCAAGAATAATTAGGCAAATTTTCATGATATAAATCACAGATTACTATTCCAGTTCTTTCAGTAGTTTCATCCCATTCTGTATAGTTTATTGACGAATTTGTAATTCTTTTTTTAGAATATTGTCGTATAATGACATTAGCATTAAATGTATCTGTCGTTGAACTATTTAATAAATAAAACGTTAATGATTAATAAATATTATAACAAACGTGTAAATATCTAGAAGTTTAATCGTACTTGTAAGAACCATCGATGACAAATTTCATCCAATCAACGTACTGTTGTGAATGGGAATAATAAGGATGTACATCGAGTAATAAAACAATTATTTTTTCTTCATGACTATCGAAATAACTATAACAATCTATAGTTAAATATCCAAAATATCCAAGTTGTTGTAATGTATAAGCAACTTTATTTACACTTGGATTTAAAATCTCTATATTTACCGAAGTTTGTGGTATCATATAAGCAAACGTTAAAAAGTTATAATCTATAGAAATAAAAAAAAAAAAAATTGCATCAATATTAAAATTTAGAAAAAAAAGAAAAAAAGAATTTCTCTACTTATAATAAAAATACCTAATTGTATTTTATTCAAAGTACCAATCCATTTGACCGGTTTCATAGTGATCTTATTTGGAACAAAAAGGCATAAAGAAATAATACTTGAATTTTTTTCATTTGGTACAGCTTGCAACAAGCATCCAAACTTTTGTACGTGATTGTAAAAATCTTTCCAGGAATGATAATAAACTTCGTTGAAATTTGTTACAATGGAAACGACTTTTGGTAAATGAATTAACAAAGCATTTAAATATTCTTCTCGTAGATGAGAATTACTTAACCATTCGTTGCCATAACGTTTTCTTGTTTCCCTGATCGCAGGCATGAATGGTATACTAATGTGATTGATCAGAAATACACCACAGTGCTTAGTCTGTAAACCGAAATTCACTTTGATCAACCATAAACAAATATCAGTGTTTAATACTATTAATTCGGCTAGTTTAGAACAAAGCTTCGAATATTCTCGTATATCTTTAGAATGTGCCGGCTGTGGTAAACCAAGATCATCGATTATCTCAGACATTCTTGATAGATTTAATAATTTTTGTTGCAATATCATATCCGGTCCTAGCAATGGGATACGTAAATTGTCCGATATTCTAATGTCACATTCATCAATAATCCATGGTAAAATGTAAGCTGGTTTCCCATTGATTTTATTTCTAATAGCAATCAAAGTATCCTCCGAACAATGTAAAATCCTAGATACGTTCATGTGTGTACGCTCGAGTGTTTTAGCTTGTGAAAGAGGAAGAAACGTTATACGATTCTTTGTACGTTCTTGTGAAACTATAGAATCGATAATGTCAACGTACATAGATAAAAAATCTTGTGTAACTTCAACAGGCAGAATATAAATAATTTCAGACATTGGATTACGTAAAAATGATAATCTCAAACTCATTGTATGTTGATAAATAGCAAGCATTTTTGGAGTAAACGTTCGACGAATATCAACGGGATAACCAATCGATGGTATATGAATGATTACGTGCGGTTGTCTTATTAAATCGTTTAATTCGTCCATAAATTTTTCATTAAGTTTTCGAACTACGTTCAACGAAGTTAACATTTTTTCCAAATAATCAGTTTGCATCTTACGTTTATCTCTAATCGATAACCATTTATACCATAATACGCTAGCTGCTATATAACGACGATATGATTCCTTCAATTGTTTACGAAGCTACAAATTATAAAAGAAAATTCATTCTTTAAATAAATTTATTTATCATACCAAATAATGTAATTGTTACATTATTAAATTGATGCAAAAATAATTGTCGTTTTCTACTATATTGAATATAGTGTTGGGTCTTCTAGTTATCTAATTATTCTCAATATAATACAATCATGGAAAAATAAAAATTAAATTCAATGTTTCTCAATGTTAATCATTCAACATATATTCAATCATTTAAATATAATATTTAAAAATCGTGATTAATCTAATAATTACCAAATAACCACGCCAACAAGACTGTATCAAAATGGCGGCTATTTCCTCTTTATCCACAGTTTTTAATTGTTGTTTCCAACTTGTTAACCAAGGCCCTTCCTCGTCAATATCTTGCAATAAAAAAAGCAGATCTTCCTTCGACAATTTAAAATGTATTCCACTTTCAGGTATGGATAATAGAAAATGAAAAACCCTTAACGGATCCAAATGAAGGGAATATATCCGTCGTTTCTTCAATAATTTTTCTATTTGTGGTGACACAATCAAATACCATTTAGATCTAAGTTGATTACCATTAATATCGAGAACAGTAGACCATCCTTTGTTTTCTGTTAATTCTCCCAGTATATATTTCAGACTATGAATTTGTGATAAATTTATTTTATTTGAATCGATGGACGAATTTTTATACTTTCTAACGATTTGAAGATAACTTTTATTCGTCGGTAAAATTGTATTTTTCATTTTTATCTTTTGACAAATCCTATTATCAATAATAAATATTTTTATAACGCATATATATATATATATATAATTAACTATATAACAAATGTTTATAATATTAACGAGAAAATTTCAATATGACATACGTTTTTGTTTCGTCGTTGACTAAAGAGAACACTTTAGTTCGTAAATCCATTAAATCTTGTTTAAATTTTAAATCGGTATTGTCAAATTTCGTTGGTATGAAATCTAATTTTTCTGATTTAATCCTTTCATCATCAATAATTGATTTAGATATATTTTTCCACGTACAATGGCAACGTTCAACAAAAATATCTTCGTCGTTTTTTAATAAAACATTTTTGCATGCTTCGTACGGTGTTTTAATTTTGATTGAAAATCTATCTGACAATGGTTCAGATCGATATTTGGTTTCTAATAATAAATCTAATTTCATTTCTACCCAAAATTTATTGCAATCTTCTTCGATAGATATTAATTCTTTTTGCACATTGTCGTAAAGTTTTCGTAATGTTTTTAATTCTATCGGTTCTTCTATATCATTTTGTTTTCTGATAGACGAGAGATGCAGGATTTTTATGAAAAATATAAAAAAAACAAAAAGGCATTATTCTTACCTAAATTAACAAACCTACTTAATAATTTCAAGGATCTCCTTTTTTCGACGTAACAAATAATCCCTCAAATGAAAGCTCTGCCTCTGGATACCAAAAATGTTATCTTTTATTAACTTTTCGTATTGCAAATATAAATCTTCGCATTGAATTTTTTCTAAAACGAAATTATCGCGATACATTTTCATTCGTACATTTAACATTAACTGAAGTTAACCGTTTATCTTTGAACCGCGGGAAAATGAACTCTCGTTAATATGTGTGTGATGACTTTTTTAAATAATATACTTTTTTTCAAATACACACAGGTTAAATTTTGTATACAAAATTATTAATGTATATATATATGCAATTATATATTTGATATTATATAATTTTAATTTGTTAATAAAATATTATATTATAGATTTAATATATTGCTATTATATTTATTTGATAATTCGTTATTAATGATCATAAAAAAAAAAGTATGCATATTTAATAAGATCTGTTATAATCTCTTTCAATGTGCTGCCATAAATCGAATGCACTGTATTGAATTAATCGATATATTATTCGATAGTGAACATAATAATAATTTAAATAACAATTATATATTGTATGTGAATAATATATTAAAGGGAAATATTTAAATGTATATAATATCTATATAGTCGATTTTAACGGTAACAGCGCAGTGCCCTGTAAGATCACGGTACTTAAACATTCACAGTGCAAAATATTCCTTTCAGGTGTTATGTGCGACTCAATTGCTTTCTTTTTCTAATTTAGTAAGTGTCGATTATTTATCGGATTATTTAACACGTAGTTCATTAATTTAATAATCTCGATTATTCATTTAATAATGATAATAATAAATATTTCCATATATTACGTTTTATGTAAAAACTTTTTATTATAGTTTTTCTTGTATTCCGTATACGGTATAAAATGAGGTTATCTTCCGGATTCGCTGTCATACATTTAACTTCGTTTGCATGATCACTTGTGTTTGTAATTTATGTATATATATATATATATATATATATATATATATATGCATGTTTAATAATGTAAAAATACAATTTTATACTGACTTAATGAAATATTTCTGTTTTTTTTTTTTTTTTTTTTTTACTATTTTTTGTAGTTTCATGATTATTTTTTTATAGGTTATTAAACTTCTGTCAAAGCTACCTTTTTAATTATCTTTATTTTATCTACTGAATTATAAACGATGTTTGTTTTAATATTTATAATATTAAAATGTGTATACAGAATTAAGAGGATATAGCAATGGGTATAACACCAAGCCGTTATGAAGATTTTTCAAAAAATGAACATTTGGAGAAGTTTTGTGGAAAACAACCAATTCCTCCAAATGATGCATTTTGGAGTTCGTTTTTATCTTACAATATGCGACCACCAATAACAAGGAACGATCAAATAGAACTTGACTCCCAATTAGATATAGCTTGTCAACAGTTATTGAATAATAATCCAACAACAGGGAATTTTGGTAGCTTGATACAAGTTACACTTATCCGTATAAGCGAATTACTTGCGCCTGTACAAAATCAGAAGTAAGTAAATAATGTTATTATTTTCTTTCTATATAGATTATCAGAGAAACACAATTAAATTAAAAATATTTTGTCTACAGCATAGTATCCGCATGGCAAACATATAATGCGTTATTCGCTGTAAGATGTTTTTTAAAATATCTTGTTGAAACTGTCGGTGAAGAGGAAATGATAAAACATATAGAAGCAACCGGAATATCTGCAGGAACACAATCAACATCTTCGTATAGATTAGAAGATCTTTTTGAATCATTATTAGAACTCATAACAGATCTACCTTTATGGTAAGTATTTAAAAAAATGTTCAAATTAAATCTCTCTCGTTCAAATTACTTTTAATAATATAATATATTTTCTCTGTATAGTGAATTTACATATATCGTTCATTTGGAAGCAATAAATTGTCTCCTCGTACTTCTTTCCGTACAATTATTTTCTCAAACTGCTGCTGAATACAGTCCTGTTTATAGAATAGCAATGCATGCTCAAAGTAGCGAACATGCACCAACTTTGGTATGTACACTATTACATAACTTCGTACAACAGCAACATGCACCGGCAGGATTATTTTCACAACAACCGGGTGGCAGTATAGTTTTCAGTATAGCTGGTAAGTTAATGCGTATAAAATCTATATATGCGATATTTGTTAAATGTTTTATAATATTGAAAAATGTAACTATTTTTTTAGCTGGATTGTGGAATGTAATTACAATGGGCATGGGTCATAGTTCGAAGAACGTACAAATTTTAAACAATGGTGCAACGGAAGAGGAAGAAAAGAAACGAGATACAGAAACCCCTCTTGCTAGTCAATCTTTACTATTATTATTAGTTTTAACAAATCATTGTACTGCAACACAAAATCCTTATAGAAATGCACTTTTCACATTTACAGATATGCAAGGTAAATATTTTTAATAAGAAAAATTAGATAGAAATAAGATATTTAAACTGAAACTATTTAAACATATATTAATTACTTTCAGATGATTATACTCAAATAGATGGATTTGCATTTAGATTTAATTTAAATAAATTATATAGTACAATCTGTAAAATACAAAATACCGATGAAGTCACGTTATTATTGTACATGTTATTGCATAGAAATCAAAATGTGAAACATGACATAATGAGAAGATCAGATATACATTTATTGGTAAAAATCTAAAAGCATATATAAATAGGACAGCATTTTGAAAATTCTTTTCATATTAATATAAAATAATATAATTATTTTTTGTTTAGGTAACACCAATATTACAAATACTATATCATGCACCTAATAATACATCCCATCATATTTATATGTCACTTATAATTCTTTTAATCTTGAGCGAAGATGAAACATTCAATAAAAGAATACATGAAATTGTAAGTTTTAAAATCAAATTATTGTCTACGTATGTAATTATGTATTTCATTTTTAAATTGTTGTGTATACAATTTCAAATTATAATTGATATTATACTTTACAGATGCTGAAAGGTATTACTTGGTATACTGAAAGATCTATAAGTGAAATATCATTAGGTGGATTACTCATTCTTGTTGTTATAAGGACAATACAATACAACATGTTTAAAATGAGGGTATTTATATATGCACATATATATATATATATATATATATAAGTGCATAATTTAATTTTATTTATTTAATATAATAATATTTTCAATTAATAAATATCTTATTATACTGTTAGGATAAATATTTGCATACAAATTGTTTAGCTGCTTTAGCTAATATGTCTGCTCAGTTTATGTCTTTACATCCCTACGTTAGTCAAAGATTATTAAGTTTATTTGAAACAGTAGCAAGAAAACATGCAAGATTGGAAGCAAAAATAAAAGCGTTATCTACTGTTTCAACCGAAAACACAACAATCAATGTTAATGGGACCGTGACCAATGCAGATTTAGTAAGTAATTAATATTAGTATAAACCCCTTTCTTGTAAATAATTATTTACAAAACATACTTATTTATATTTTCCAACAGGTACAAGATTTGACCATATTGGAAGAAGTTCTTAGGATGGTACTCGAAATTATAAATAGTTGTCTGACACACAGACTCGCAGAGAACCCAAATTTAATTTATACTCTTCTATACACATTTTGCGAAAAAGATATTTTTGAACCATTTAGATTACATTCAGCGTTTCAAGATATCGTGCAAAATATAGATCCTGTAAGTTCATATAAAACAATGTATTTATAATAATGATTTATTTTTTTTTAATAGAAATTTAAAAATTAATAATAATAATAATAATTTATAATATTCTTTCAAGGTTATAGATTTCTTTTCATATAAGTTAGAACGAAGGGATCAGTCTCAATTGGGTGTCAGTCAGGTATTAGCTATAATACAGCAAGGTGTCACAGAATGGCCTCGCGATCGCCTAAGAGTGCGTACAAAGAATATTACTCGCTAACATATTTCTCTTCTATTTATATAACTTTAAATATACATTATTGTTATTATTATTATTATTATTATTATTATATTCTTTTAGAAATTTCCAGAACTCAAATTTAAATATGTGGAAGAAGAACAACCAGAAGAGTTCTTTATTCCTTATGTATGGAGTATTGTTTGTCAAGGAGCATTATTACATTGGAGTGCTGAAAATATTAAATTACAAGCTAGTATTTAAATTTGTCTATAAAAAATTAATTCAATATGAATTCTGGCAAAAGAAATAGAAGAAAAAAAGGAATGAAAAGGATACTATGCTAATATACTAAAATTAAAAAATATATATATATATATTTAATCTATATTAACAAATGTCTAAAATTTATGTGTATGTTTGTGTTTATATGACAGAAAAGTGGAACAGAATAGTTTGGATTTAACTTTACGCTTGGCCACTTTCAATTTCATTTTTATCTTTTTTCATATTTTTAAAAAATACAATTTTTTTGAATTCTCATTTTTTTGGGTGGCCCCTTTACAGCTATCCTAAACTTTCACTTTCTGTCTCGTCAAATAATTGAGACTAATATCTGAAAAGACAGACGGAATATGCAAACATACATATAAATAATATGAATCATTTATCAATATAGATTTTCATCAAAGTAAAACGAAAAATGTAGTTTCAATGAATTGAAATAATAACACCGAATCGTTCAAATTTACGAAGGAAGGAAGTAATAGATTTTATAAAAAATAATACGAAATTCTTTGAATACAGAAATCATATCTATCCTAGTCTTTAAACTTACGGCTGTATTTGTTTATTATATACGATTCAAAGAATGATTTCTTTGTAATATTAGCAATATTAGTAAATTTTAATGGGATGACAAAATCGACATAGACGTCTATATGCAATTTTATTTGGGTGCTTTAAATTGCCTAGGTATACGATTAATATATATACAGAGATTTTTCTAATATTTTGCGAATAAATTATAATTAATTTAAAATATTCATTAAAACAGAAAAGACAAAAGAGAACTTAACCCTTTGATTGTAAAATGCTCTAAATTGAAGCACTTTGCTTGTGCAGTACACTGTTCGCAGTTGATTGTTGTCAAAGGGTTAAGGAAAGATAAATAAAACCATTATTTGGTTATTGTGTATATATACTAAAACTTTAACTTTTTAAAATATCTTCCTACTTTTAGTTAAACTAAATATCACTCATAAAAATTTTAATATATGCATATGTAGAAGTGTGGGAATACTATTATAGGAATAATTTCTTTTTTAATGTATTAATATATTGATTCGTTTAAATCTTACGTTGAACACATCGAACGAAATGTGATCTATAGGATATAAAATCTATATATAGCACTTAACATCTTTATTACATACCTTTATTACATATGCGCATTGACATTCATGGCAGTTGGTAGTAGAGCTTTGTGTATTGCAACTATATAACAATGTAGTATAATGTAATCTTGAAAATTGAAGCATAACACATTTTTATTACTTTAAAAAATTATTTAACTTATTAGAAAAAATGTAATTTTAACAAGATACAATATGTTAAATATTTATCAATGAGTACCTAATTAATATATATATATATAAAAAAAAAAGAGTTTAAGTCAACACAATATTTTTTTGCATCTTATTATTTAAAACACATAAATACACAACTCTTGAGAAATTAATTATAAAAGAAATTAAAAAATCAAAATCGTTCATATTTCAAAACTAATATCGCAAGATATATATATATAGCACACTTTCCATGAAAATTTATATATATATTAGAATTGTTTTTATAAAACAATTCTACAATTTATCGTACGTATGGTATGTGCATGTAAGTACATCAAATAGATTTTTCAGACACTTGTCATTGTAAATATACTTACTTCAAAATGCGCGCAAGTGAGAGCTCCTTATTTATATATATATATATATATATAAACACATACGTATTTAATGAACTATTTAATTAAATAGCAATATTGCTCTTAATATAACACTGCATTTGTGTAGGTACATGGTATATGCTGTCCATGTTCAAATATAAATGTAAGTTAACATATATATGTATATATATATGATGAAATAAAAAGTTCTGATATTTATATACAGAATTGTGTGGAATGTTTCAATATATCCCAGGTATATATTTTCGTTTAAAATTAAACATTCTTATACATATATTATAATATAAAAGAAGAAGATTAAATAGATAAGTACATCATGTAATAATATAAACAATATATAAAAGAAGAAAAAGAAAAACAAAAAAAAAATTGAAAAAAATTGTATGAAAATGAGAAATAATCTTGCTTTTGCTTTTTATAGAAACATTCTAACTGATATTTTATTATTCTTTCTTTTTCCATCGCGCATTTCAGATAGAATATATAAGTCGATCTATATTTTTCGAATGTACATCTTTATTAAACAAATACAGTTGACGTCTTAATATTATCTATATATATGTATATATATATAATATATACATATATATTATATGTCGATATAGATCGTATTTCATTTTCCTAGCCTGTGCAGCGTATATATGCGACCGCGCGCGTGTGTACGTGTGTCATATACTATTGCTAAACATCTCTTTTTTTTTATTATTTTTTTTTTTTATTTGAGAACGATTTCTTGTTTGTTTATTTTATTCTGTTGGGAGAATAACAATTGTTAATTTGACGTTTCTGTGCGTCGCGTGCAGACGCGCCGAGTAACTCAGTGTGTCGTAGTCATACATTAAATTAAAATTCATATTTTAATAAACATTGCCTCTTAGCCATATGTCTCTCACACACACGTTACATAATTAGAAACGTGATTAGCGCGTAGATAATAGTATCGTTACCCATAATAATTAAATTCCTTATAGCTGTTATTCTATTAATCGTTACTTAATCTTATTAGTTAACACACAATCAATCTGCGATGGGAGGGAATTTAATCGGCCCGTAATAATAATCAAATTACGGGCCTATATTCTATATTTCTCGGTAGCTGATTAATTAATAATATTCATTTATATGACAACGTCGCTCTCTCTCTTGGATAATCTCGATTCTCCTCGCGTACTCTTTTTATTTTATTTTATTTTATTTTATTTTATTTTATTTTTATCATTATTTTATTTTATTATTATTATTATTATTATTTTATTTTCATTTATTTTTTATATTATTATTATTTTATTTTCCTTTATTTTATTTTTATTCATTTTTTTATTTATTTTTCTTTTGAAATCTCTCAAATATCTCGTTACTATGTGTAGTATCTTGTGAAAGGACGCGGCGTGTCATTTTGCGCATATTTTTCTCTCTTTACCATATATATATCTTTTTTTTTTTCACATTTTCTTTTTCTTTTTTTGTAATTTTTCTCTTTTTTTTTTTAAATTATTCACGTAACTTCTTTTGTGTAGTGTGTTTCAACGCGTAATAAATGTATATATGTATGTATGCATGTATGTATGTATGTACGTAAAGAGTTATGCATTTTTTTATCTTTACACAGAATGAAGCACGTCAAACCAGAAATGATATATCTGGTTTCGAGTGATATTCTTAGTATAGATAATAAGTAAGTAATATAGAATTTCGTGTTTAATTTCATTCGCAAAGAAATCATCCATCTCTTGTGTGCACATTTAGTATATGTGTATGTAACGTGTGTTAATTTACTGTATCTGTCGTATTTTCGTGTCAGAAAATTGTTCTTTTTTTTGGTCACAAATTACACATCCTTTCCATAGTCACGCGTAAAATTTAAAACATCCGGGACACCATTGAGGTACCATTACGTGTTTTTAAGCATTATAGAGAATATGTCCAAATATATACGTAAACATACATACATGAGAGAGTGCATGTGCATATGTGTACGTACATGCTAGCTGCCTACAAAATACAATGGTACGTTTCATAAATTCATACCTTCTCTTTCTTTCTTTCTTTTCATTTTATCTGATTCTTTTTCTTCTTTTTTTCTTCTTTTATTTCATTTTGTTTAATATCGTCTTCTTCTTCATCATCATCATCATCATCATTATCATCATCATCATTATCATCATCATCTGCAAACGGCGTAGATATATCTTTATATATGTGTATATATTTATATATATATATTTATTCATTTATATATATATATATATTTATATTATAGTATATAATCTAGTCGATTTTCTTTTTTGTTCTTCATAGGTTCCACATTTTCCTCACAATTAATAATTAAGTACATCATTCAAAGTAGGTTGCTGCGTACACGCGCATTTTTTCTTCCTGCGTTGGTTTCATGGTTTCATGATTTCTTTTTTCTTTTTTCTTTTCTTTTCTTTTTTTTTCTTCTTTTTCTTCAAATGATTCATATATTTAGCTGCAGTTTTTCTGCGTTGTTTGCTGGGATTTTATAATGAGAACATATTGAGAAATACTTTTTCTTGTGTTATTTTTGTATCCCTTTAATAAACGCCAACCTCCACCCCCCCAACCCCTATCTCCTAAATAGTTCAATAGATTGAATGAGAAAAAAATGCCGATAATGCACGTCCGCTTAAGAGTTCCGTCTATTCTCCCTTTTATCATTGAGGACAACCGTGTCATCGTCGTTTTATACCGAGTAGTCTGTTTTGTATTATATTCCAACGGTTCTCGCTTTTAGCTGACAAAGGACAATATAGCAACTTAATTTTAATGTGCAACGTTTTACTAATAATAGTATTAGATGTATATATATATATACCTGTGTGAGAACGCGTCTGTTAATAAGTTTCTTTCATATCAAAAAGCGTTAAAGATAATTAAATTCGATTTTAATATATATATACGTAAGTAAAAATATTCACAATTCAAAATAGATTAATACTTAAATTACTTAACGCTAGAACTACTTGTTTATTAATTTTTAATTATACCATATTTATCGATACGGAAAAAAAAAAAATATTTCATTTCTTAAGAGAGAAATTATTTTGAAAGTAATATATAAAGGGTAAAAAAATTTGCTCATAATTACGAATTAATTAAAATCCATTGAAATTTACACGAGTTTAGTAGTTCTAATGTTAAATTTATAAATGTATCGTATTTTCTACAATTACTCAAATTAATTTAAAACAATAGTACTATTTTCTATATGTATATATATATATATATATAATCATTTTGTAATATTATAACCAACTGATATTATTTGAAATTATACAAAATAGCTATATATATATATATATTAAAATGCTTAGAAAAGTACGATTATTTTTTTTTTCTTTTTCTTTTTTTTCTTCTTCTTTATATATCCGCATACGGTAGAATACTTCATTCCGTTTGTCTCTCTCTGTGAGTAATTATAATTATTAAAAGGAATTCTTTTTTTAACGGTGATTTTTCGTAGGTATTTTCACCGGTTTTATGACATGATTTTTGAAGGATACAAAAAGCGTTTATGTCGATATTGATATATTTTCTCATAATTATAGTTCATAATTATATCAAAGGATCTACCGTATATGGAAATTTAGGGCAAATTGCGTACACTTATATCACGTATGTATGTATACATATACCTATTCGAAAGAAGAAACAAGTATAGCATTATATGTATATCCTATTTGTTTGCTATGAAAAGCATTTAATAGAGATGATGGCCTTTTATTTTATTTTATTTTATATCCTTTTTTTCTTCTTCTTCTTTTTTTTATTATTATTATTATTATTATTCCTCTTCTTCTTCTTTTTCTTCTTCATTATAACGTACTGGATTTAGAGAAATATTTCATTAATTCATGAAATATATAGATCAAATATATGAAAACGAAATGATTACAGAAAGTACGATTATAATGTTCGTAAATAATGTGTGTGCGTATGTGTATGTATGTATATGTGTGTGTGTTTTTTATTTGCGTGTTCGTATATGTTAAAACTTTTACACCGATCATTAGGAAATCCAAGGAATCAAAACAAAAAAAAAAGAGAAAATAATTCATACAACGGAATAAACTAACGACGATTTAAAAAAAGATAGATAGATAGAGATAGAGATAGAGATAGAGAGAGAGAGAGAGAGAGAGAGAGAGAGAGAGAGAGAGAGAGGAAAAAGAAATTAGATATAATATAGGAAAGAAAAAAAAGAACAAAATAAAATAGAATATAGAATAGAATTTGACTTATTATATGGCAAGTTAACATCACGACGTGGCAGATCCCTTACAATACATTATTATAAGGTGTTCTTTACGCAAAAATTTGTTTTAAAACTTCTGACAAATCTCTTATAAAAATGATATGATATGCTCGTTGGAAAAATAAGTTGTTCATTATAGTTTTTCTATGAATATAGATATCCGTACACAAATTTTCTCTCATTTTGTTTTTCTCAGTTCTAGGTAAAGTTCCGATCGCGTTTCTTTCAATCGGTTTTTTATAACACTAAATACATAATAATAATAAATACATACACGAAGTATCCGTTCATTAATTCGCAGCGAGTATACCACCAATGGGGCGCAGTCTTCGCATGATTTATATTCTTTATTATTTTCTTGGAATTTTTTTTTTCTTATTTTTCTTTTTCTTTTTTTTTTTAATTTTTTATTTAATATCCTTTTTTTCGAAAGTTAACAAAAAAAATCATTCCTTGCACGCTGCATCTTATCATTGCACGTTTGTTTGTTTGTTTGAAATAAGAGAAGCATTTTTATACTGGCGAGAGCGATCAGTATGATTGCTAAAGCGCGTCACAACCATAGATATATGTATGTATGTATGTATGTATGTATGTATGTATGTATATATGCATATAGGTATGTATGTATTTTATTTAGTGCAGGTAACATATAATATTATGACATGATGCACTTTAGTATGCATATACACCACCTAATTGCCAAGAGAAACATGCCTATTTACGTTAACACCTTAATTCCTATATATGTGTATGTATTTATGTATTTATGTATGCTTCTTGTATTCACGTATTTATGTATTTTGTTATTTAAATAGTATCATCTAATTGTAAAATACAACAATCACGGTAGAATAGCACTATTCTAAACGCATTCTGTTTGCGTTAGTGATTAAATCAGTTTGACTTCACTATTAAAATATAGAGTAGAATTCAACATACTACCGCTTAAAAAGGCACGTAAAAACTAGTTGCTCTGTTAAAAGATAGAGAGAGACAGAGAAAGAGAAAGAGACAGAGACAGAGAAAGAGAGAGAGAGATAGAGAAAGAGAGAAATATAGATGAGAGTTAATGAGAGTGAATGAGTGAGCGAGCGAGATAGATAGATAGATAGATAAGAGTAATTGCACAATGATTTATAAAAAAATAAAAAACCCCTCGTCATTATTTCGAGAATTAATAATAGGTGCACTTGCTGCGCGCTGTACTCTACTGCATTTAGAATAAAAAACACATCTCTCACATTCATAGCATAATCGTAGTCTCACAGCGGATTAATGAATGGAAACAATGTATGTATATGTATGTATTGTATAATTACATGTGTCGTCTTCCTCCTCCTCCTCCTCCTCCTCCTCCTCCTCCTGCTCCTGCTCTACATATATAGTACACACACATAAGTATATACTTAACTGGTATAGACTGTATACGCAGAGAAAATTGTTGGGCGTATCAAGTCATATACGCATTGCATATACATAA